TACATTACAGACCTCAGGCCAGATCATAAGTTTCACTGACTATACAGTCATTTTTTATAGTAATAATAATTGGAAAAAGTTAAAAGAAAATAGCCTAACCAGTTAACATTAAATATTAAAAAAAAAAACTAAATACTTGCCGGTTTTGTCATACACCTCTGGGTAACCAAACTTCAACCAACTTGACATTGACAACGATACAACAATTTCAGAAGCAGAAAACATTAAGTACCTTGGTAATGTAATAGACAGACTCCTAAAATAGGATGTAGTCAAAAAATAAGAGGTTTACTCTAAAAATTAAAATATCTTCGCGACTTCCTGGATGTTCACCTCTTGAAGATTTTATACTATTCTCTAGTACAATCACAATTAGCGTATGGGATTATTGCATGGGGTGGAGCCAACAATGCTTACGTTAAAAATCTAAACTTTATACAAAATTGGAAAATTAGGATAATATATAGAAGGGGTATAAGATCTTCAGAATTATTTACAGAAAGTTACTTCATGGATTTGAACCAGTTGTACTTCTACAAATCGTTATTATATTTACAGTGAGAAATCATTTCTGAATTGTACCCACCATACATATTAAACTAGAAATAGAAATTTAACAATATTAACAGAAAAAAAGAAAAAACCATTGGCCAACGTTGTATTGATTTTTTGGGACCAAAAATTTTCAATTGTCTACCATCTACCATCAAAACAATATACAATCACAACTATCACAACTGTACTTTACTATAGTATACTAACAATCACAAACATAAAAAAAAAATAATTCTACCCTCACCTTGTAGTCCATGTGACACACAACTTCTGTGAGAAACGGTTTATTTATATATGTATTGTATAAAATATGTAAATTTATATTGTAACACATTTTTTTATTTTTTTTTTGTTATAAATAAACTCTAATAATACTATATTATATAATTGTTTAGCTACGAAGGGAAAACGGACAACAAGTGCATTCGACAATCTAAAGGATTTAGAATTACTTGGTGATACATGCAACTTTTATTCTTTGCGTGCTCGCCATAACATGTATGCATTAAACCCTCAAAAATTTAGCATATTCTTCAAAACATCCATGCAAATATGAAAACAACATATATTTAGTCTAAGAACAAATAAAATAAGTATAAAGATTATGTTACCTGTTACCTGATATTTTATTAGGATTTCAAATTTCTAAAAAATTAAAAAGAAAATATTGGGACAAAAATCAAATCGCCGACCGACAAAATCGCAATACCCTGTACACCCTGTATAATATTAAGTTTGTAAAATATAAACCAGATATGAGTATTATTAAGTGTTTTTCCGAAATAGCGAAATATAATTATGTAGAGACAAAGGGGACGTTCACGGGTAAAATGACAATAGCGGTAGTTCTAAACAAAAAATTTTAATAAAATGACAAGATGTCTTTGTAGTATAAGGTGTACCACGAACAATTAGAAAATGTATAAAGCCATAGGATTAGTAAATTTGTTAATGCAGATATTTACTTATCTTTTTTCTTAGAAATTGAATAAAATTTTAAGACCTTTTATTAAGAAATGTCAATTGCTGAGGTTTTGGTAGCAGTGGGTTTTTGTGACAATATTCACATTTGATTGGTAGAAAACGGCTAAAATGAGAGAGATATTTGTGCGTTTTGATTGGTTTAGAAAATATAGATAGAGATTTGAGGGGTCCTACCAGAATAAGAAATAGGTATTGTGATTTGAATATCCGGAGACGACACTACAGTTTTTCTGATACAACGGTGCTAATTAGCAGAGTTTCCAAAAAAGTAAAATTTGTGAAAAGTTCTGTTTTGTGTTTGTGGAAAGATGTCCAACTGTGGTAGCAGGCAGAAGAAGTTGAAGAAATAGATGACATACTATAAGTAAAAAAGAGATGTACAGTTTATATTTGACCAAGTTGATCAGTTGAGATATCCTTGTGCCTGAAGAGAAGGACTTGTTCCTGGAGTTGGAAGTTTGAGTGAAGAGTTGAGCAAAGATTAATGCAGTTGTAGAATTGTTTTATTGCAATCGCTAGGCAGAAGGGAGATCAGGCGTGTTTGAAGAAACTGGGAAGTACGAGCGATGTGAACAGGTCACAATCGAAGGAGAATACGGTTAAGTCAGCCGTTTTGAAGATAAAAGGTTAGTTTTGTTATTTAGTTAACAGAGAGAATATCAACCATGACCATATATTTAATTTAGAGTTATTTGGTTTTCATTGATTGTTTTTCTTAATTGAAAATTAAAGTAAATATATTATTCACTAGCAAAAAAGTAAATGAAAGAATAAAATAAGAGGTCTTTGATTTGGATATAAGATTATTTAATTTTTTATTGATAATTTTGGGTGTATGATTTGATGGATGCTTGATTTTTTCATTATTCCAATTAGGGTGTAGGCTATATTTATGATTTGATATTCTAAAATTATAATACTTGATTTATTTTAAAAATATACAGAGTGGTCCTTAAGTAATTGTACAAAAAGAAATAATAGATTCTACACAAAATATTACGATTTAAGCCAAATTTCCTTAATAAAATATTGATATTAAGAAAGATACAGGGTGTTGAAGTGCAAATTAAAAATTTTATTTTTTGCTATAACTTTCATGTTTGTAAACATTTATGTATGAAAATTTACAACTGGGTACTTTTAAATATGAGAAATTATAATTGTATGCACACTTTGATGTAGCTAATAGAGGGCGCCACATATACCACATATGTGGCCCAAATTTGCACTTAACTTTTTTGTTCTTTAAGTTACCTGTATTTGTGACAAAACAGAATAATAGGATTTTACATTAAACTTTTACGTTTTATGTTACATTAAAGTCATAATCAAAACATTTTGTATACAAACCAAACTAAGAAATAGTTAAACTAAATAACATAACTTTTTGTCGAAGTAAGTGTTCGATATGTCCACCATTTTCTTTAATTCATTTGTCAATATATGCCATAAAAGATCGTCTCATATTAAATAGCATCATTGCAGTATTTATTTCTTCCCATAGTTGGTTGCGAATGTTTATAGGATTCTATGGGATGTATATGGGAAAACACGTTGACTTAATGCGCCCCATACACCAAAATCAAGCGGATTAAATTCTGGGCAACGTGGTGCCTATAATATTTAATGGATGAATATATTCTTTTCGCTACATAATAATGGTATATGGTAATCAAAATATTATGGTATATTGTGGAACTACATATTATTTATCGCAGAGGTTAAATAATGTATTAAACTGTGATGTATCTTGTTCATTGGTTACTTATATACACAAGGAATAACCTATCGATGACATTACTTATTTATATAATTACGTTACAGCTTACGAGCCATTATGATTGCCTGTGTGTTTAATGGGTAATGAATACTAAGCATTATTTTGGGATTTTTTATGAATTAAATAATTATATCAATATCTCAACATTGTCAAGTAATATGACTACCACGACCAATTCAACGTTTAGAAAAGTCTGCCGTTTCTCTAGAATGTGGTGGTATACCATCTTGCATAAACCATATTTTGGGTTTTAAGCATTTTACAGTAGAGAAGAAGTAATACAACGTCAGTATAAAAACTTAAGAACCGATCTTCTTCTTCAAGTGCCATCTCCGCGGCTGAGGTCGGCAATCATCATAGCTATTCGGACTTTTGAGACGGATGCTCTGAAAAGTTCATTTGATGTACATTCGTACCACTTTCTCAGGTTGCGCAGCCATGACATTCTACGCCTCCCTATGCTTCTCTTTCCTTGGATCTTTCCCTGCATAATCAGTTGGAGCAAGGTTTATTTCTTTTCACGTGTAATATGTCTGAGATATTGTAATTTTCTTGTTTTTATTGTATTTAAAATTTCCATTTCTTTGTTCATCCTTCCCAGAATCTGTTTGTAACGTATTCTGTCCACGATATTTTCAGTATTCTTCTGTACAATCACAGCTCAAATGATTCCAGTTTTTTATTGATGTCGCATTTAAGGTCCAAGATTCCATAGAACCGATAGAAAAGGGAAATTGTAAACAAAATGACGGCCAACGCCTAAATATGGACACGGCACCTAAGAAGAAGATGAAGAATCTTTTCTCCAATAAGACATTTACCAGCCATAACAAAGCATTTTGTGGTGTAACATTATCATCTTTGAGTTGTTTTAATAAGAATAAACTATGAATTATGCTTATCTACAGATATTCAGTCCTTTACTGTACAAATATCACAACTAAGAACTATTATGCAGCTGACTTATAAAATGCGGTTATCTCGAAAATGGTTGAATTTTAAAGTTACTAACAAGTATACCTTTTCTTAGTAAAAATAATGTATCTTTAATATTTTTTACACAAATAGAGCTAACTTAAAAAAAGAAAAAAGTTAAACGCAAATGTATGCCACACATGTGACATATGTGGCGCCCTCTATCAGTTACATTAAAGTATGCATAAAAGTATATATAATTGTAAATTTGTGTCCAAAAATATTTACAAACATTAAAGTTACAGCGAACAATAAAATTTTAAATGGCCACTTTAACACCCTGTATCTTTCTTAATATCAACATTTTATTAAAGAAAGTTGGCTTAAATCGTAATATTTCCAAGTACAGAATCTACGGTTTCTGTTTGTACAATTACTTAAGGACCACCCTGTATAACACTTGCTTTATAATTTCAGTTTTTTTTTGTAAATTTATTTTCCCATTTCCTACTCTTTCCTCAAAGGCAACTATAAAAAATACTTTGAAGCCACGATTTTTTTGTTAAATAGTATATTAGCCCTGATATATCCTTTTAAAATATATTTGTTTTATCAAAATAAGCTGAAGTAGAGATAATATCTAATAAATTGTAAAAACATGCATTTGAGTAAATCATAACAATATATAGTATTAATATAACATATTGCCCTTAACTCAACTATACATTAAAAACATAAAATAATTTTAAGTGTTGAATAAACTCACGTCAATGCCTAGAACGAAAATAGTTATCAACATATACACATCCATCTTCAGATATAACACTACCCGTAAAACTTTTAACGAAACACATCTGCTCGACCCAAATACCACCACAAATCTGAAAAATCAAATACAACTGGCGGAAAATTGGTTATTGCTGAAAAACAACGGAAAAACGGAATTAACTCAGGAAACCCGTTGATCTCTTACTACATAAATGCAGCTTGTACTGTTCGTTTAGTCAGATATAAAGAATGTTAACGTATGTAAGGATCTGGATTGGAGAGGCTTCATACAAATATTTATGTTAAGTATAGGTAATGTATGAGTGCTAGCTATAGATAGTTATACGTACTTTTCAACTAGTCGACGGAAAATGTATTGAAATAAGTGTAATGATATACTTATCAAAATAATTAAAGGCCTGATTTACATGTTTAAAACCAAATTCGTACAGGAAAAAATAATAATATAGGAACTCGATGAATACTAGAATAAAGAAGAACTTGAAGACTATAAAGGTTTTGTCATGTGTAAAAATAGATAATGGATAATAGATTTGTGGCTAATATTAATACATGGTGAGCAAAAAACCAAGTATTTGAAAATATTTATATAAAAATAAATATTTCTGTAATTCATTTTATAGGGTGCACTAGATGGCCTGAATTCTATGATATCTGTGTGATTGTGATCTGTTTTTACTTATAATCTTAGATCTCTTATTATTCTTCTTCACGTGCCTTTTATGCCAGAGGTTGGCAATGATCATTGCTGTCCATATCTTTGAGGCCGCTGCTAGCCTACCAGGCTGTTATTTTAATTATAACGGCCAAATACTAGACTGCATTTCATTTTAGTTTGAACTGCCATAAGTGCTCCGGATGAGGAGTTGAATAACTTGAAATACGTGTACAACCATGGTGGAATTCGAATTGAAGAAGAAAAAGGTTAATGCGAGTTGATAGTAAAATGAAGGTAAAAGGTATCAGCATAGCTCGCAACAAAGGAAAAAAAATATAATAAAATATGTGTATAAGATGGAAGGCAACCGAATATACGTATATCTGACTATTGGTCGTCTTCAGTACGGTGCAGCCAAGTTAGAAAAGGATCATATTAACTTGGGAAAGGATATTTATATATATATATATATATAATATATATATATATATATATATATTTATATATATATATATATATATATTTATATATATATATATATATATATATATATATATACAATGTGAGTCAGATTAAAATCTCACTGCAAATGAAGATATTGGTCAAGGGGAAATAAAAAATGAAAAAAACTATTTCAATCTTTTAATAGAAAACGTTTTGTGCAGTATTTCTGCATTTCTTCAGTTATATTGATTGTAAAGTCATATATAGATGTCAAACAATGTCAAATGTAATGAGAAATGAGAAAATGAGAAAAGGCAGCAAATATTTGATTTCACGCAAACAAATCCTATGTATCTCTTGATACGTATTTCGACCTAATAGGTCTCGTCAGAAGAGCTATTCATAGGGCTTCTCAACGTGAAAAATCAATATTTTCTGCCTTTTAAGAAGCAACAATAACATGGCTTCAATACGGACGCAGTAGCGACATCTAATTAAACAAACATTCGAAACTATTTTACGAATGTCAAATGTATATGTTGAGGTGTTACAAAATACATTTAATAAATTCAATAAAAGTTACAGTAAAAAAAACACATTCAGAGTTTTTTTTTAATTTATACAAACATTAAAAAGTCACAAAAATGTCACAATATGTTAACAAGAACAGTATAATATAATATACTACTTCTATTCTATCGCTGATGTACAATATATCGAAACATGAAGCCAGGAAAAAAATGAACTTGTTTTAATTACAGCTTAGTGAATAATTTGAAAAAAAAATATTTTTATTGAAAAAAGCATGGAAAGTTAACTTTATTGTTAGAGACACCAAAGTAATTAAAAAAACCAACTATTTTTGACAGACAGCGATCTACTACTCGAAGAGCAAAACAAAAAATAATATGGCTTTGGAAATCAGTCTTTGTACGAAAAATCAACTAGATGACAAAAATACTTGTTTACAGGACAGAATAGAAAAGTCAATTTATTTATAAATCTAATTAAAAAGAAGGTGGGAAATAAAAGGTACCGATGACCATTGTTGGGGAAAGGATTTTACATAGAATGTGATATATGAAAATCAAAAAGTTCTCGTTGAAATGAATATAGGGATTTAATTTAGAAGTATCAAGGTAGAATCGATGGTAGCTACTTTTTTCCCTAGCGGACAAAAACCGAAAAATTTAGGCCATGTTTTGATCGGATTTAGGTGTACCTAAGTTAAATTATGAAATGTAACATTTAACTAGAAAGATTTTAAGGATTATTCAACAGCAAGGAGTGATACATGAATTTCTATCCTAGAAATTATTCTCAGTTCCTAGAGATTTAATATTCTCAAAGTCGATTGAGTGGTTAAGAGAGATAGAGTGGGTACTGAGAGCACAAGAATGCTTGTTGCATCTGATATCACTTTTATGGGATTTAACATGCCCTTTAAGGGCTCTTTTCGTTTGGCCAATATACTTCAAATGACAGACTGAGAATCCATGCAAAGACTGTCATTTGAAGTATATCTGGCTATCTGACCTCTGGATTCTTAAACTGCATCAATCACTTAAGGGCGGTATGGTCGGTTTGGATTAAAAACTTTCTTCCATAGAGGTATTGATAGAAGTGCTCTACTGATTTTACTACTGCTAGTAGTTCTCTTCTGGTGACACAATAATTCCGCTCAGGTTTTGAAAGAACTTTACTAAAATATCCAAGAACTCGTTGCTGTCCTCTTTGAATCTGAGACAGCACTCCTTCAATTCCCACATTACTTGCATCTGTATCTAAGATGAACTCTTCTTCTGGCAGCGGATACCCTAAAATTGGTGCTGTTCTTGTATGTAATACTTTTCATTATTTTTAACGAGCTAATCAAGCTTATCTTCATCTCCATCCGCTTTTACAGTCCTAATTTTACTGTACCTGCCAAAGGCCTGCGTAGCTGACTCGTATTCGAGGACGGCGGATAAGACATCAACCAGAGTCTTGTGACGGAAAAATGTCAGTGTTCTCTGCATTTCATGATCACGAAGACCATCAACGGCCAATTTCTCCATCATGTCTTCGTGAGCTGTTGGATAAGCATATCGTACTAATTTGGCAATATCTACCTCATATTCTTGAACAGCCTCATCTTTCTTTTTTCTTCGATTTTTAAGCTGCGACTGATATACATGTTCCAAATGTTCGTCGCCATATCGCATATTTAACCTCTTCTTAAGTTGTTCGAAATGATTCGAACTGTTTCATGTAGTTGTTCCATGACGATTTTCCGTCGAAAGTCGGGACTTTGACATGAACAGAACCTCCACTTACTTTAAATTTCGGCCTTGTTTCCAACTTACATTTCGTCTTGTCTTCTTTTATCTCTACTGTAATTGGATTGTTTCCTCTCTCTGCTGTCCCTGTTTCCTCAATTCTCCTTTCCATCTCTTTTATCTTTTCTTCGAAGGCCAACATATCGGCAGCAACTTGGTTTTTAACGAAGACACCCTATCGTCGAGAGCAGACATCTTAGAAGTGACTTTAGAGATGTTAGCAGAAACTTTGCTTTCCAGTGAAGAAATCTCGATAGATTTCAATGTCACCAGAAACTTTGTTTTCTAATGATACGATGTCACCAGAAACTTTGAAAATCGATGAGATGACAGCAGCATGTTTGTCTTCAAATACATAAGTTTCCGGATTCCCTCTTCTTTCAAAGCGTTCTTGAGTCGTTGGACTAATCAGCCTTTTTTCCGGTAGAAGCTAATTCTCTGCCCTCGAGATGTCTTCTTAAATCCGTAACTTTGAGCTCATAAATCGTAGTCATTTTCACAATTTATTTTATATTTCACTTCTGGACACTAATTGAACTGTTATTATAAATCTAGTTTATTGTTTTTATTTATTATCAAAAGTTCTACATTTATAACACTTACAAGTTTATTAGAATCTTTATATATTTATTACAGTTTCACACTTATCACTAAAAACACAACTACTTTAATTTATATTATCTATTTACAATATTTATTTCGGACTAAAAACTGTTTACAATCAAATTTCTATTTATACTAATTAACCGTTAGACTAGAATTTCGAAAATCCCCTTCGAACAGAGTGGAAGGTCACCCAGACTGGTTTTCATTCGACTTTCTTCTGGAAACTTCGAATCGTTGGTATAATAGGAGACCCGTCAGGTAATACCTGAAGTTTCTGCCGGCTGGTGTATGATCTAGAAAAGACTTGAATGGAATAGAATTAATATGTTTAAAGTTATGAGTCATATTTATCGTAACAATATATTAATAAATAACAGAAACAAAAACACTCAAATATATAACGCATGAAAAAAGTTGAATCAATTTAATGCTTTCTGGTAAAAATGGTTTGAATTTTTTTGCGTTAAATAAATATACAATGATGATAATTTTCCGACACGTGAATAATTGAGCATGAGCGAAAGATGGAAACTCTAAGTTAGTTTCGCAAACTTCCAACGGCTGACTTTGTCACTTGTTTATTGTCATTCACATCTTCTCCTTTGTATTTTTCCTTGCTGATCGTTTTTACAATGACATTATGCATTAGCCTGTTTACAGTCAGTCATATAGTTAAGGCATCCTGCCAGTCTTTTTGATTTTTGTACTTGATCTCTCACTTTAGTGTACTTCCAAAGTCTTTTATTTACATTACTTGTTCAATACTGATGCCATCAATTTCTATTTTATATCTGGTTGGTTCTTTACAGGTTACTATTGTATTAGTTTTCTGAGATGAGATTGTCATATTAAATGCTTTTGCTCTTGTGTTAAATCTATGGACCAGTCTTTGCAGATTATCTTTATTTTGGTCTATCAATATTGCATATTCTGCGTAACAAAGTATGTTTATTTCTTTGTTTCCCATTCTGTATCATCTTTTTTTGTTAACCCTTAACTGGTTCGGCGTCGTCTGACAGACGATTCAATGTTTAATTCTTTCTT